CAACCCCAAAAACCCTCGTAAACTTAATTTGGTGCAAATCGGTTGACTAAAATTTTTGTCCGCCATCTTCGTCCGCCATCTTGAAAATTTTAAAACAGCCAAAGTTATATCTGAACGTAAAATTTTCCGCTTTTTCATTTTCCGGTGTCAAAAAGGGGGGTTTCCATTTTAAAAAAACCACTTCCGGTTGAAGTAACCCACTTTCGGTCAAAATCAAAAGTTGAAAGGTACGCCATTTTGGTTCCCCCTCGAAACCCTACAACTTTTATATGAAACTTTTTTCGATTCCTGGCCACACAAACGAGTTATTGGAGGTGATAGATTCAGATGACTCACCCTGTATATACATGGTGTTTACATTATTTAAAAAAATTGATAAATTTTGATATATACTAATTTCTATCGTTTTGCGTAGTATTGTGGTAAAAATTGGTTCCTGGTTCCTAAGCCATTAAAGAATAAAAACATTTCCGATGCAGAACAAAATCGATATTGGCGATTAAGTTTTGATGAATTTGAAAAAGTTATTCTCACTGAACACGGACGAGCTAAACTCATAATACGCCACTTAAAAGTATACCAATATATCAAAAAATTATAAACATTAATTAATTTGAAGTTAATTTTACTAATAATAGTTGTATTTTTAGAAATTTAGAGATACGCAGGATTTGAAGAGTATTGCCAGCTATTACATTGAAACATTGGCTGCGTTCAGAAAACATAGCTGATCAGTGAGCGGTCAGTGATTATTGGTTCTTACTGTTAGATCCCTAACTTTAGACCAATTGCGTTGACTAATTACTCAACCGTTGTGCAACAGTTGTGTCTTCTGAACGCACCCATTATGTTTCTACCATCTAGATATCTTTAAACAGCAAAAAGGAAACCAAGGAAAGTCATCGACTTTTTTATTTTTCACGGTATTGTTTTTAACGTTGAAAAAATGTTCTTCTTTTATCAAATAATAAAGCAAAAATACTTGTAGATGTTACAACAACTCTGAAGCTTTCCATAATCGTTGTATAAAATATTATTGGGACGAAAACCTGAATTTATTGGAAAAAATCAAATATGATGAAATGAAAAACATAGAAAACAGATTATTGAATATTATAAAAAATATTGAGAAGCAGATAGTAGAAAATCCGAAGGATCAATTTGCTATAGCTAAATTTGTTTGTAAGTATTTACACAATATTTTGTATAAGAAAAATAAAACATAACGTGTTAGGATTTGAATTTTGTTATTCATTAAAAAAACAAAAATTATCTTTTACTAATCTGTATGTTAACATTTTAAAATTTATCTGAATTTTTATTGCAGTGAATTCAGAAGAAAACAAACATCTGAAGAATATACTAAAATCACAATATGAAATATAGCTAGAAAGTGGTAAGTATACGTGTACTTATACATGTATATACTGGAATATATACATGTACTTTGAAAAATATATGATCAATGTCTATTTTTTAAACATTTAGTTATATAATATAAATCCTGGAATTTATGTACATTAAAATATTCTCTCTCTCTTTTATAATAAATATTCAAGTATTTTTTATAATAGACTGAATTTTTTTTTTCTTTAGACACTAAAATATTGGTCAAGTAATTATCTTAAAATTATATATACTTAGTTTATTATACATACATGTTATTTAAAATATTTATAAAGAAAGCAGCCAAACTCTCATAAATTTAGCCTCATATTTTGTAGCATTTAAAATCTTAAATAATTTTTTTATAAGATTATAGCTAATGATGGGTAGATTTAAGATATATGTATGAAGGCCCTTGCACAATGCCAGACTACAGGCAATAGAAATAAGCATTAGTCAATAGGAACAGGGAATAGAAATAATTGATCAATCCGAATTCCTATTTCCTATTGTCTGTTGCTTGGCATTCTGCAAGGGTCTTAAGTATCAAAGTGGTGCGTCTAACCTTTTGGGAGAAAATGATCCAAAAAAATTTCAAAACCAACAGATGACACTACCAAAAAAAGTATATAATAAATTTTTAAATAACTTATTGTATTATTAATTATTATTGATAAAAATAGTAATATTATTCAAATTCGCAATTAAAATAACAAAATCGTGATTATGAGCATAGCTCAGATATCAAACTATGCACATAATCTATAAACAGCATCCTGCTTCGTGTATGCAATATCATACTAGCTTCATTTCCCGTTTTGTTAAAATCAGTCAGAATAAACTGATAATAATGCGTGTTGCTCTTATAGAAAGAACAGCTTAAGAAGCAGCTTAAGAAACTGCTTTGGATCCATATTTATTACAATGGAATTAATCGACAATTAAGTTAATTACAACTGATGAAAGTCACTATAAATTAATAAATATTATTAATATTTATAATCTGTATTATTTTATTGATAGAAACTTTTATTCTATTGTAACATTTTCTATAAGTTTAATGGTAACTAAGGGTTTAACGGTATCATTTATTCCAATAGAATACGTATTTTTTTAGTTCATTTTCTTCCAAATGCCGGACGCATCACACACCTTGATACTTATATATTTTTAATATACTCATAAGTAGCTATAATTTTATTAATAAATAATTTAAGATTTGATAATGCCGCAAAATAAAGTTAAATTTGGTCACACTTTTTATGATTTTTCTGTAACTTTATCTTATTTTTCTAACTGTGGAAACTGGAGAAAGTAGCTACACAGACACACATAACACATATTCTATCTACGAAACACCACTTACATTTACGAATTCTTTGATTTAATGTCATATGTGTGTGTGTGTGTTAAGATATATAAATATTATATTTTAATTAATAGAAGTGTTCATTTATTATACTTTCACTATATAAACATATTTTTACTAACAAAGAATATTAAAATATTTGCCATGCTATAAACAATAGTAAGAACAAGTAATAAAAATATTTTTTTAAATATACACCTTATACAATATCTATAAGGAATTAACACTTACAATTTCATACATGCATTGATCTTGTATCTTAATAGACAAAAACTTGTACTATATTATTTTGTATTATCTTTCGACTTATTTTTATGATTAAATTGTCTATAATTGATCAAAAAGGTTACTGTATCTTTTTACAGAAAGCCAGAGGGGATGCATTATTGTCTGACCATGTAAGGAAGTAATCGTTAATCTGAATAACGCAACGCAGCATTGCAGAACAATCTGCCTCGGCGGAATGTGCATCTTCAAAATTTGAGCCGAACATGTGTTCATAAATACTGGCGAGTTTGAAATTGACGGGGCTCTTTGTTTCGCATCCAAATTCTAATTTTCGTCTATAATTATTCTGCTTAAAAGGTCGATTCACGGTATCCTGTTGCTTCATTATCTGACTCGTCGGTGTTTTTTGATTGTTTTGACTTTTGTAGTTTTGCAAACTACTGTCAACAGCGTTCTCATTTACATTATATTTACTGTCGGGAACTTTAGTATTTTTGTCTTCGCATGAGAATTTTTGCAAAGATGTCGTGGCTATATTTTGGCCTACAGTCTTTTTGCTCATCATCATCACTGAGTCTAATACTGCAGACAAGGACTCATTGTATTCATCATCCAGCAAATTGTCAATTTCTTTTGCATGTAGAGCATTGACAGTAGAGCTGTATGACATAGTATCGCTTGGTACTCCTTTAAAGAAATCTTTGAACATTTTACATGTGTCAATGCACAAAATTCTATTATCAATAACCTTTAACAAAAGAAAGCTAGATATTATTTAATAAAGAGGAGGAATAATAAAGTGTAAAATATAACTATTACAAATTAATTACCTCGTTAATGCATTTTAATTCTGACAAAAGTATTGGATAATCAAATGCATCACCATTATGTGCTACAAAACAAATGGGTGGTGTAAGACGACGCAAAAAGTACATTATTAATTCATAAACTCCAGATTCAAAAGGCTGTAGTAACATCATATCTTCATTATATAATTCTGTACAAAAAAAATAGATATATAGTAAACTATTCTTTTTTTATTATTCCATATGAGCATACATACACATAAGCATTAAGTACATTTACATATAAAAAAAAAATATATATATATGTAAGCATATATGTAATTAAAATTTACTTGTCATATCTTCCACTTTTGATGATATAATTTTTTTTGGATTAACTGGAAGTACTAGTTTATGTAAAATCCTTGGCAGAGAATTCTGCCTGCTGTTACATATTGACTTCCTGGAAACAGCAACTAAAGCTATTTCTGTAATTTGAGGTGCAACTGCTCCTTCATATAGACCAGTTGTCTCCAAGTCAAAGAATATAAATGTCTGAATCCGTGTATCCATTTTCTTGTGTAATACCTCTCCACAGATATAACAGTCTTTTTTCACGCTTTCTCTAATATTCAGTAATTATAATTCTCTAAAAATAATACATTTTAATTTTAATTATAACAAATAATAGATTATTCAAGCATTACATCATATCTGGCACAATGCATACATCTGTTTATATAAGTAAATCTTATCAAATTAAACAAAAAATTCTTTGCAAATATTATATTAAATTAAATTAAATAATTAAATATTATATTAAATAATCTCTGCAATTATTTGGATATTAATTGGAAAAAATAGATGAATTAGTACACGTAATGCAACAGGATTCTATGAGATAGAATATGACTCTCTAAAGAGCCATATCTACAACATGTTAATCTCTTAGCAATAATGAATATTGACTTTTAATAAAAAGTGGGATAATATTAGCAGTGAATGGCACAACTTAGCATCGCTCATATGATCTGAAATCATACATTTATATCTGTCTCTGTGAATCTAGAAACAAATTTAAGAAATTTCTCTTTAGACAGAGCTTATACTACATTACGTGCACTAATCAGCCAATTTGTATTTTAATTAATATCTCAATAACTATTGTAGTTATTTATAAAGAAACTTATATTCTGTTTGATAAGACTTATCTGCATATAAGTGGATGTACATGTTGAATCAGGTAACTTGTATATAATTCACTTCATATTTACGAAAACTCCCATAAAACAATTTTTTTATTAAGACCGATATTACCTATTTAATTAAAAAATCAATTTTAACATATAATATTTTTATATTATGATAATATTCAAAAAGCAGTGCTTAAATTTCACCCGGCTTATTTTATATTACAGATAAATATGTATAACATCATAAAATTCACTTTACAAAATCACAGTATTTCTATAACTATTATTGAAAATGCAGTAAGGTACATCGAATGTAATAATGGAATATATAAGAGAACATATTCTATGAAAAGATAACCTAACAAAAACTACTTCCGGTAATTATTAAGTTTAGCCCTACCACCTCCGATTTTGACGAAACTAGGTTCAATCGACGCATTTTTGTTAAAGAAACAACTTTTTATTTGATAAAATCGTCGCTCTCTACTGCGAAGCGAGATATTAATAAACAAATCTGAGGGCGCGTTAGGTTAGAAAATCTGTCATACCGTCTATCTCTAGCTGCGTGACTAGAAGGGCTTCGCCCTCCAGACCCTCCGCACCGCGGCGAGGTGGAGGCCGCAATCTCTTGTGCTTAATAGCATGTTCGACTGGCTCTGGGTTAACCCACTCTGGGTTATTCAGCTTACGTTTATTGGTCGAACAAGTACTTATAAGTTTTATGATTGGCTAGTAGAGACTTAGACGTCATTAATCGCTCTCGCGATTAACCCAGGGCCAGTCGAACACGCTATAAGCTAAAAAATGAATTTCTCAGAAAAGACTATGGCCCCCACCCCCACCGCGGTGCGGGGGGTCGAGGCCCCCCAATCACACAGCTAGAGATAGACGGTATGACAGATTTGGGCCGCTATTCATAGTCAAATCTTATTTCAAGACCGTCTTAAGTAATGTCTTAAGATGCGAATACGGCTCTGTGATTGGTTCATGACACTTAAGACAGTACTTAAGATGATCTTAAATATAAGATCTGACTATGAATACCGGCCTTGGAGTAATGGCGTTGGGATTTGAGTTGTGGCAGCGCCTCTAGCCAAATATTGAAGGAAGGAAGGAAGGTATGACATAGCAAAGTTTCTGAAACAAACAAATCAAATAATTTAAATGGATACACAACATACGATGGCAGCACCTGTCTGAGTAATGGCGTTGGGGCATGAGTCACTGATACGCCTCTAGCCAAATATTGAAGGAAGGAAGGAAGGAAGGTATGACAGATTTTCTAACCTAACGCGCCCTCAGATTTGTCTATTAATATCTCGCTTCACAGTAGAGAGCGACGATTTTGTCAAATAAAAAAGTTGTTTCTTTAACAAAACGCATCGATTGAGCCTAATTTCGTCAAAATCGGAGGTGGTGGGGCCAAACTTAATAATTACCGTTCATGTCACATATAGTATAGAATATATATATAATAAAATTTTCTCAAAAAAAAAAAAAAAATTTTTAAATGCAACCTGTTTTTTTGCTATCTGACACCATAGACATAACATAGACCTATTCTTTGTAGATGCACTACTAAACTGGTGCAGCAATACATTGGGTGCATTCGAGGAGCACGCTACCAACGCTACCGCATTCTTCTATCTTTATCGCTTCTTAGATAAACACAAGGATAGAATGACACGGTAGCGCTGAATAGCACTAATAGCAAATATCCCCGAACGCACTTATTAAAGTGAGACAAATATAAAACTAGCGGCACACGATGCTTGTTTTCATGCTGGATTGCTTGCTGGATGAAAGTACTCTCTGATTGGTGCATTTCTGAAGACGGACCAATCAGAATAAAGTATCGGACAACGCGACGCGTGACGCGCCAAGTGGAAACTCAACCTTAGGGTGCAAACTCATGCAGCGGAATAGCGGAGCGCGGAATGAGAGCGGAACCAATAGATGCGTTCAGGAGACACAACGATTACACAACGGTTGAGTAATTAGTCAACGTAATTGGTCTAAAGTTAGGGATCTAATAGTAAGGACCAATAATCACTGACCGCTCACTGATCAGCTATGTTTTTTGAACGCAGCCAATCACACGCGTTCCACAGTTTTCGCTCGTGATTGCTTCCGCTCATGATTGGTTCCGCTCTCGTTCCGCGCTCCACTATTCCGCTGCATAGGTTTGCATCCTTAGTCCCGATCTACAATAGGTGTAGTAAGCTTTAAACCTTAAGAAATTGACCAATCACAGTGGAATTATAGAGGAATAATTGTGATTGGTTAATTTCTTACGGCTTAAAGCTTACTACACCTATTGTATATCGGGACTTATGGCTCCTGCACACAGGACGCGGTAATGCTTGCAGCGCGGCGGAAGTCCGCGCGACAGCCAATCAATGTTTTTTTTCCGTAAGAGCTAAAAGATTATTACGGAAAGCAGCATATTGATTGGCTGTCGCACGAACTTCCGCCGCGCATTACCGCGTCCTGTGTGCAGAAGCTATTAGGCCCATATTCTGAATGCTCTTTTATTTATAAAAGTGCTTCTAAAAGGCTTAGGAGCCATCTGATTGACTGAGAAGCTACATTTAAAGCATTTTTATCGATAAAAGAGGATTCAGAATATGGGCTTTTCACTCTAATGGCTCCTGCACACAGGACACGGTAATGCTTGCCGCGCGGCGAAAGTCCGCGCGACAGCCAATCAATATGTTGTTTTTCCGTAAGAGCTAGAAAGTTATTACGGAAAGCAGCATATTGATTGGCTGTCGCACGAACTTCCAGCCGCGCGGCAAGGATTACCGTGTCCTGTGTGCAGGAGCCATAAGGCTGAGTTCCCACTGAGCGCGTCACGCGTCGCGTCGTCTGCTGCGCCATGAGTTAACTAATTAAATCCTCTAATTGGGATGACGTGCGTGCGACGCACGACGCACTTGTTCCAATGGGACGATTTGATTGGTTATTATGATTCACACAGGACTCAGGGGCCTTATTCTCAAAAAATATCATATACGATATTTCTATGAAAAGCTATAATATACGTAACATGAACTATAGAAATATCATATGCGACATTTTTCGAGAATAAGAACAATAAATAAATAAATAATCTAAAATATATCGCATACAATATTTAGTGAAAAGTTATTGTATGTACGTAACATAAACTATAGTTTTTCATGAAATATCGTATGAGATATATTTTCGAGAATCAGAGTTCAGGGGCCTTATTCTCGAAAAATATTGCATATAATATTTCTATGAAAAGCTATAATATACGTAACATGAACTATAGCTTTTCATAAAAATATCACATGCGATATTTTTCGAGAATAAGGCCCCTGAACCGTAATAGGCTCCTAGATGTACATGTGACGGTATCTACACATAGGACGCGGAAATGGCTGCCGCACGGCAAGAAGCCACGTGGTAGCTGATACATTTTCAGCTTTTATGAAAAAAACGGCGCTTTAAGATTTATGAAATTAACTGCAAAATATTAAATTTTAAGAAACTCTATTAATTAAAAAACTCAGTTGTTTACATTACGTTTGTAAGCGCAATAAATTAGGATAAAACAAAATGTTTGTCTCACTCTAACTTATTGCGCACACCATTTCAAACAGTTCAGCTAAAAAGAACAGACTTTTTATGTATATATACAAATGTCCTTTGAAATTGATGAGCTCTGGGAAAATTATAATAAAATAATTGTTCACCTATTGCGCTTTTTATATAATATTTACGGAGTTCAAGGGATTATATAAACTGCAGTGAGTTTTACATATACATACATATCCTTTGAAATTGATAATCTCTGTAAATTATAAGATAATTGCTTACTTATTGCACACGATACGTATAATACTGTTACAATTAGACTATGTACTGTAACAATAATTTGTTCATTTCCATCCAGTCAAAAAATCTCTTATTTAGTATATTCCACAAATTTAAAAAGAAAATATTTATTGACTTGGAACAAAATCGTTAAATTTTTTATTGCACACAGCACGTCAAACAGTCAGCAATTAAAGCGTATCACGTTATTCTTCTAAAAATAAAATCCGTAGCGGCCGTTCAATTTTGCCGCTCATTAATTTATAGTTTTGGGAAAATTCTCACGATAATATGTGCTCAACACTGTCACATGTCTCAAGAGCACGCATGTATAAGCGCAAAATACTATGGCAGATCAAAAGCAGTTGTTATTACATAATACCGCATTGTCCCTAGTGAGGCAATGAAAAAATGCACAGTATCCAAGCTAGTTACGATAAGCACGATCAGATAATTGCGAAAACCTTGTTTCGCTCCACGCGGCTGTGAGAAAAAGGCAAAAAATAGACGTTAACAGTGAATCTGCCAGGGAACACCGTTTATATCTCGCGTTACGCCTCTGTAATATCGATCTGGTCGGCCAGTGGACATGCGTTTAGCGCCTTTAACTTCATTGTGACAGGTGCCCTGTCCGGGGTATCCTGTTCGAAGTGACTCGTCGGTAGGAGCACTATAACTGTAATAAATAATGTGACATCACTGCACGCGCGACGTGTAGCTCACAATCGCGGCCCCGACTGACGCGAGATCATGTATCCCGTGCATATTTGCTGAACAACGAAGCACTGCGAGAGCTGTCTACTAGTGTCTGGAACATGTGCCTTTGCTACGAGTGAGTATCAAACAGAGAAGGAAAGAAAAAGAGAGAGAGAGAGGAATACGCGCAAACAGTAATTGCTTACAAAATGCACGCCGAAAACTCACCAAAATTGTGCAAATGCGTCTCCACGTCGCGGTGGAATAATTGACGGATGACTGAACGATGACGAAAGCTCGTCACGATTTAACGACTGCGTAATTGGGCAAGAGCGAGCGACTCAAGAACGGCAATTCGTGTACACTTGATTTATCCTTTATTTACCGATGCTCTCAATAATTTAATGTACGGCTCATTGACTCGTTAACAGATTAGATGTAACAACGACGGTGTGCAATCCCACGCAAAGTATAACGGATGAATAGTTATAAAATAGCTATTTTTGCGCGCGCTGGGCGATTAACACTGAAGGTATTAATAGATTTGTACATGCATTTTCGAGTCATTCAACCTCGTAGTACCCCGACGCGGTTGTTTTCGAACGTGAGGTTAATGTGAATTCTAGTTCGGCGAATATTGATTCGCGCTAAACACCCGGCAGCGTACTTGCTGATATCCTTATATTTTTCATTATTTGTACATGACTGTTACGCATAATTTTAAATACGTACTTGTAATAATGCCGCGGAATTACGGGATTACGGTATCACTTATTACGAAATTTAAATGCAACTAAATTAGCAGTAACAAAATAAAAATTATGTAGAAGCTCTGTACAATCGAACAAGAATAAATAAGCAATTAAGAGCCAGCGCAGGACGTCTATTATGAAATAAAAAAATTTTTAGTAAATATAGTAGATAATTTATACAATTTCAGTAGCTCTCAAAATTTCCTTAAGGAAACTTTTTTCTTAAACTGTATAACTTTTCTGAAACTGTATAAATTATGCTATATTTATTTAAAAAACTTTTATTTCACACTAGATATCCTGCGCTAGTTTTTAATATCTATTAATTTATTTATCGTTTTTCTCCATTTATTTTTGTTTGACTTAACAGTAACATATTTCATGTTATTCCTAGAATAATGTACGTTTATAGATTTAAAATTATATGGAATATTTATTTGCATTAATATATCATTCTGACGTTCATCCTTTCGTTCAGATAAATATAATGGGCAGTTTGCCTTGGAAGATAATTGCGACGCATCATGGAAGCATTACACACGAGCAACGTACTTTATTTATGGTACAATATTACGATTTTATCTAGAACAAGTCCTTCTCGCCGAGCCGGAGGAACTATTTATCTGATTGTTAATACTATACGTGTCTCGCGTAAACATTTGCGAGCTACAATAACGAGATCTTTTTATAGACGTGATAGCGATCATGAACCTAACGATGTAATAATGTTTTCGTTCATTCGTATAGATAGAACAGATAAATACAATCGATAGCTCTAATGTACACGTCAGCGTTGACGATGGGACTTTCGCACGCTACCGTTAAGTCGGAGCCGTTTTATTTCTCTCCTCATGAGTGATAAGTCGATAATAGCGAAAGTTTTCCACGTGTTGGATTCGCTCTTGTGGAACTTCCGTGTGACAATTTTCCGAAATTTTCTCCGAAAATTAAACAATTCAAGAGTTCAAATGAATTTATATTGTGGTAAAATGACGAATAGGCATAAGCGTACGCAAGAGAGGACAGGAGAAGGCATCTAGAGAGAAGCAAGAAAAAATGAATTATGAAAATCATTCGAATAACGACAAAAACTAAATGTCAGGAAGTCGAGTCAATGGATTATATATGTTAAGTTTACATAGAAAAAATAGTGCTCGCGAAAAGAAAGAAGCTGACAGAAGAAGTATTAAGAAAGTTCGCTGAAAATTCTTGAAGACTAATATAATTTAAAATATAAAGTAATAAATAAGGTAATAAATAAATATATAAAGTAAAATTTAATATAATATAAAGTAATATAAATATTGAATATAATATAATATGAAGTTTAATATAAGTATCTTAGATTTATAATTTAATATTTAATAATTAAATAATATATCCGGAAAAAATCTGTAGTAAAAATATTAAATTCCTGCTGATTTACTTAAACCGTTGTATTTTCCTTTTTAACTTATAGCAAATACAAATTGGATTTTAATTCTATTTTTCAAAATTCTTCAAGAAAAATAGCAACAAAGAGAAACGAAATCTAGATACGCTTATTAAAACAAAATATAAATCGACCCTTAGAGACAAACTTAAAGTGACTTAGACTTAAAGTTTTGTGTGAAAATAAATGTTTGCCTCCTCCCTCCTCTTCCCTCTGACTGAAATCCTGTGTACGTTCATAAATTCTCTGCAACGTTGATAATTACGATAAAATCATAGCAAATATTTGACTGACAGACAGCATATGTACACTTAGTCCTGATTTTGAAGGCGGCCAATTACAGCGGAGAAATTAATACGAATCGATCGAGTGAACACAGCTAAGGGCATGTAGCGACGTCAATGTCAAGGTTATCTGACTTTTACAAACTTCTGACCCGCTATCTTAGGTATGCCCACCTGTAGAACTGTTAGTCGATTCAGAACACATACATTATTGAGAAACACGTGCATATTTGCGAGCGTTTAAAAAGAGAAGGTTAAAGGTGCCTACCGATATCTACTCGCGGTCTGCAGCTCATTATCCAACGCGATATGTGACAAAGCAAGATATACCTTTGATAAAAGAATATGAAATGTACTCACGAGCATTCATGATAATTCGATACCATCAAGTCGCTCGCTAAGTTTACAATAAATGTAGTAAGTCTTTATAGTCTTATATTCTAAGCCCAAAACTGTGGCGTAATTTTTGACTGCAAACATTTTCTACTACTGTCTGAAATCATAATCTCCAAATTTTAAACGAGTTGGCTAGATTGCAATTGTTAAAGTAACGCGGAAAATGCTTTTTGCCAAAAATTATAGGCCTTAAAACATGATTAAAGACTATGATTAAAGCCTACTACAGCTATTGTAGACTCGGAATATTGCAATCATCATCATTCCGATACATATTGTAGATTCGGAATAATGTAGTCATCATCCGACACACAAGCCTACCGGCCTCGATTTCCCAATCAATGACGATTCCACGTACAGCGATATCAATGCGATCGCTCCTTATCTGGTAGACATTGACGTTAGGAGAGGCACTGAGAATGTTAAAGTGCTTTGATACGACGGGCGCTCCCTCATAAAGCGATTGACACCGGCGATTCCGATAAGTGCGACAACTGATTAACAATTACGTACGTCTTTGCAGCTAAGAACCCCGTTAATCTGAAGAAAAAAAAAAGAAACATGACTGCTATAGGCGACGTGCAAGCCTTGCAAACTCTCACAGTTTACACCAGCGATATAAACAGCGTCGACTTCGCCGGTGATTGCGTGCTGGTTACGGGATCCGGGTAAATATCGGTTATCGATAGGCAATTTCGCAGTACAAGAGAAGGCATACGGCGACGTCAAGTCACACTCACTCTTCCTCTTTAACTCGCAGAGACAAACGCGTCCGAGTTTGGGAATGGCAACCCGGCACTGGCTACACGGAGGCTTACTTTTCGCCCTTGATGGGACACAAGTATGGTGTAACCGCGGTCAAAGTCAGCCCCCAATCCACCATGCTAGCCACGTCCAGCATAGACGGTACCACGCTGCTTTGGAATTTACGTGTAAGTTGAAAAAAAGAAGTGAGAGCGAGTGAGCGAGAAAGAGAGAGAGAGAATGAGTAAACACCAACTAAAAGTAACATTACATCAATGTTATAATTCCCATTCAATAATAAATATGATAAAAAGACTTGTTTACAATACACGGAGTAAGCTTACTTCATGTATTCTAGACGAACCTTAACCCTAAGCCATCATAACTTATAAAAAAAAAATTATTTTTGATTGTAGAAAAAAATGCTTCCGACAAAAGTTGTTTGGTTTGAAGGAGAACACATGATTTCAATGTGAGTCATGTAGTTGTTTTCAAGAAATTTTAAAGGCAACTTAAACTTTAAAGGTTAATTTCTTAAATAGAACTTAATTTTTCCTTGAAATGAAAGTTATAGATTTCGTCAAGACATTTTAAAAATACTTCGCAAAATTATCTTCTGCATAAGCCGTGCCAAAGATATGAAGCTTCAAAGTTCACAAAGCCATTGGCTTCGTGCAAAAGGCTTTACTAATTGTTCTAAACTCATACTATCATCTAAATTTTTATTCATTATCCTACTTTTAGCGCTACACAGGAACAACGGTCTGGAACGTAGTGGGTTTCTATTTCTTTTGGGATGTTTGATTAACGTGAGTCTTTGTAAACTTCGAAGCTTCATATTTCTGAAACAGCTTATACAAAAGACAATTTTGGAGCGTCAAATTATTATTAATTATTTTATTAGTTATTTATTTTCTGTTTAGAAGTAGGAACCCTAACAGCACGTATTAATTGGCCAACGATTAGTCGCTATGGGAAGATTAGTTGTTATAGACTCAACATTGGCCCAATGCTTTGTGCAATGGGAGACACCGTTGAAATCAGTCTTGACTTAAAATTCTTCATGTTAATTCTTCGTATTTTTTTTTAATCGTTATCCCATATTTTTTGGAAAATTACATTCTTTATCTTTAATAAATGACAATTTGTTTTATACAATACGGCGTTACAAAAAAAATTATAAATTTTCAGATAAATAGTATTTTGTGATTAAATTTAAATTTCTATTCGCAAAATTAATTTTTTTTTAATTCAATCATAATTTATAATATAGGCATATATTCCTGACATTTTAGTATTATAATTAAAAAAAATATGTTAAAAAATACCCACTTTTCAAAGAAATATTGAAAGTGGCTAGATAAAATCAGGGCTCGAAAGAAATGTGATTTTCTAGGATTAGCATGTGTTATATATAACATATATATTGCTGGAGAAATTATAACATTGATCTCAGATAGGCAGAGATATTGAACATGCATGCAAATATTTGGGCCTATATTCTTAATTCTCTTTTATCGTTAAAAGCATCTCTAAAAGTGGTTTATAAGCTCTTTGATTAGTCATAAGCTTCCTTTAGAGACGGTTTTGTTGTTTCGAAAAGTGAGTTTAGAATATGTAATAGAATATGTAACAGCATAATATGTTGGAAATATGCATATGTTATTTATAAGAAATACTCATTCATTGTGTCATAATTTTTATCAAAATATTTACTTTTCCTTACTACCCTTATAGAAATATCATACTAAGAATCATTGATAATTACTTATTATCCAGTATTTTTAATACTTAAAATAAGTAATTATCAATGATTCTTAGTATGATATTTCTATAAGGGTACAATAATTTCGAATTAATTAATTTTTCTTACGGCAAATTAAACAGTAATTTTCTTGATATCAAATAGCTATTTTTATATATAAAAAAAATGTTTGTACAATGGCATATCTTTGCGTACTTGTGCTTATTAGTTAAGCTATACAGATATATGCTAAAATATATAGCATATATTTAGTATTATAATTAATATTATATAATATATATTTAGAATGTTACTTGGTTATGAATGTTAGTTGGTGTTTGCTGGGTAATTTCCGAAAGGAGGAATAAAGAATTTCCGAAAGGAGGAATAAAGAATTTATAATAGAACATTATTTCGTCTCGAAGACGGGAACGAAGATACACACTATGGTTCAAGTGGGCGGCGAAGCGGTGAGAGTATGCAGATTTTCACCAGATTCGACGTTACTCGCCACCGCTGGAGATAACGGACAAGTTTGCATCTGGGATCTGGTTCACCGGAATTTAATCAGGTAAGATTACCTGATCGCACACACAGTGTGCCCTCGGTCTTTTTTTAGAAGAGGGTTCAATAAAGAGTATAATATAATACGGAGTTCGAGTATACACAGAAAATTACATTCAAGTAAATGTTATCTTTTTCAAGTCTTATAATCCTAAAAATCCGAGAAGGATTGACATAAATGCATGCAAATTTTATTAAAATATTACATGATTTTATCTGAACTTTCCATCTCTATCGAAAATTTCAATTTCTCACATTTCATATAAAAAATTATCAATTTATTTTGTTTTATTTCGTAAGTTACTTTGAATGATTAAATATTTATTTGAATATACACGCCTTTTTATGTAATTTTATCATTTTTTATCAAAAATACGATCTAGTCACATAGATTTTTCTGATCTAATTCTACTAATTTTTAAGCAGGGACATTTACATATCCGCAAATCTATCACAAATTCATTACAAGCATCAAAATTCTTCAAAATAAATTATGAATGCTGGTAAGTTTAGCATTTCAATAAAGAATATATTAAAACAAAAATTCAATTTGTTTACTTCTATATAGAGTCGAACCAATTATTTCTTCGACAAAGTTTTTTTTTATATTTTTGTGCAGAGAATAAATTCTTCTTTTGAGTATAGCTTAAGTTAAGCTTTCCTAAAATTTTCAATGAATATATTTTAAAATTGTGATAAAGAAAATATTCTTTTTCGAATATAACCATTGCTTAAAAGAAGAAAAATAAATTAAGTATCGCTTTTTTAAATTAAATCGCTTTTTTTAGCAATAGAATGATACTTTTCTGCATACAAAAACAGATTAGTCTTTAATTATTTTAATACAATGATCACTTTTAATAACTGTCGATTTCAATTCTAACTTGCAGATGCTTTCAAAAGCACGAGGGTGCCGTGCAGAGCGTGTCTTTTTCGCCGGATTCCTGCTGGCTGATCACCTCGTGCACCTTGGGTGTCCTGAAGCTATTCTCCACTGCCGAACTGATCGACACTTGTACCTCTAGCAATCAAGATGTCACGGAACTCGCTTCAATTGACGATGTTCACGACATGGGGATAGTTTGCTGCGACTTCTCGTGTTTTCAAGAAGTCACGTGTACGCATACGTTGCAAACACTGATTATTTCCAATATCCCAGATGTTATACACGCAAAAGTGATTTCACTCATGACTTTTCTAAAAGTTCCTTAGCACGGAAAAGAAGATTTGTTACATATGGACAACTAAACATAATTTGTTGTATTAACCACTTTTTCTTTGCTGCAGGAGCCAATTTCTTTGCTAGGATAACAAGAAAATCTGTTCCTGCAACAGAAAAAGTAGCTAAAGCGGTAGATTATGTTTAGTTGTTCATTTGTAGCAAATTTGCTGTATTAGCTACTTTTCTTATTGTAGGAGCAGATTTTTTTGTTATCATAGCAAGGAAATAGGTTTCTGCAGCATAGAAAAAGTAGCTAACACGAATAACGAATTATGTTTAACTGTCCATATGTAGAAAATTAGTTTGCTACTGCAGCAAATTCTTTTTTTCCGTGAGTAAATTGAGTTTGAAATGTAATATTTTCACCTCTTATGTTGTTTTTCTAAATCTTCTAGACAAACTTATTTTTATTTTACAGCTCACTCACATTCTTTAGATAACGATGTATAAGTAACGGTATATAATTATGCTTGCAGGTAACGAGCCGTACACTAAACTCTATCAGCTGGTAACATGCGGCAACGACCACGACGTAAAACTGTGGGAAGTTATAGTGAGCCAGAATAAATGCGAGGCCCAACCTTCTACTGCCACTGTACAGCTTTGCAGAGTAATGGAAAAGCACAGCAGTGCCTTAACTTGCGTCCGTTTCAGCAGCAACGGATTATACATTGCCAGCTGTGGCCTCGATAAAACGGCAGTAATTTGGGAAACGGTGAGGAACTTCCCGCGAAACTTGATGTGAATTTTTTCCTCTGCCTGGTGTACGGTATGCAGATAATCTTCTATTAACCTGCGATTCAATTTTAGAGCTCAGGAAAGATCGTGTCGATAGTATCCGGTCACAATAGATACATCGCTTGCTGCGCTTTTTCGCGCGACGGCAATTTATTAGCGACAGGTAATATCTTACTGCGTTCTACAAAAAGATTCGTAGAGGAGTACTTTTCTTCTTTTAAATAATAGTTATATTCGACAAGGAATATTTTCTTTATCATAATTTTAAAATATATTCATTGAAAATTTTAGGAAAGCTTAACTTGAACTATACTCAAAAGAAGTATTTGTTATTTGCACAGAATTTATTATTTGCACAGAATATAAAAAAAAAAACTTTGTTGAAGAAATAATTAGTTCGACTCTATATAGAAGTAAACAAACTAAATTTTTATTTTAATATAATATTCTTGATTGAAATGCTAAACTTACCAGCATTCATAATTTATTTTGAAGAATTTTGATGCTTGTAATGAATTTGTGATAGATTTGCAGATATGTAAATATCCCTGCTTAAAAATTAATAGAATTAGATAAGAAAAATCTATGTAACTAAATCGTATTTTTTATAAAAAATGATAAAATTACATAAAAAAGCGTGTATATTCAAATTCATTGGGACATAACGGGACCATAAGGCATAATGGGATACAGTCGATAACTTTTTAGATGCCGCCACGTAATGAAATGTTTTGCAATTATTACTTTTATCGCGTAATATTATCAATTGTCATATTATTTTTAGCTGAAAGATGCTACAAATTGTTTAATGCTTTTGCTGTATTCTCCGCAACTACGTAGCAATTTGTTTGATACATTTGCACAAGGTAAACAATGAGAAGATTCTTCTATTTATTACCGTATATATTATATATTAACGTTATTAGACTATCTATTCTCGTCATCTTAATTAAATACCTGTGCAAATATCGATTATCTAGGATGCTTTGTATTACATAATCCAAACTACATATCGATTATCTATGATGTTTTATATTACATAATTCAAACTACAATACATTTCGGGGTGCAACAGAATTATGCATTATGTTCTTAAAATATTAAATTTCAGAAATTTCTTATCATACTATATTTCAGAAAATTGATACCAAAGATTATCATAATAAATATAATAATTGTCATTAATATTTTAATAAGAAAAGAATACAGTTTTATAGTTTTATAAAAAAAGTGTTTAATAAATAATTATAAGTAACTAAACGTGCAATAATACGTTTTTAAATATTCTATATTTAATAAACCACTTTTAAAAACTTTTTAAAATCAATGATTGTAGCAAAAAATTTTGTGAAGTATCCCATTTTGGCCTGTATAGAAAATGAGGTTAATCCACACTTTCAATAAAACAATAATTTCATCCTTTTAAATTATTCTTTCACAGTAAAACTTGAGTTTTTCTTATAGCAGATTGCTCAAAGAATATTTTAGTGCAAAATCAAGTTGACTTATTTATTTTTAATATATTTATAACTTGTAAATCTTGGAGTTCTCGTTATGTCCCGAGTTCTCCTACATCCCTTCAAGGCTACTGACTCTTGATATAACTGTGTAGGCTCTAATGATAAATCGGTGATCGTGTGGGACTTGACGGGAAATCTAAATATCGATTCCGAACTCTCGAGAGTAGGCACAAAGTGGCTCATGAATGATCCTGAAAAGGTAGGCTGTGAGAAAAAATAATACCTGTTTAAGAGATTTGATAAAATTACATAAGAAAAATCTATATAAGTAAATTGTGCTTTTCGTACAAAAATGATAAAATCACATAGAAAGGCACGTGTATTCAATCGATTTAAATGTTTAATCGGTCAAAGTAAGTTTTTACGGTATAAAACGAAAGAAATTGATAATTATTTTATATGAGCTAAAATGTGAGAAATTGAAGTTTTTAGTTGAAATAGTTTTGATATAGAATTTTAATCAAATTTACTGCCAATCTGCGTACACTCTACTATCAATTTGCTTACTGGGATAAATTCATATATTTCAAATTCGATATTTCATATTTGTATACGTTTCTATCAATTCTTATCAGATGTTTGAAGCAGGATTGTTAGTCGTAAACAAAATCAATCTTATTGGGCTCCTATTTGATTATATATGAAAAAGCCAACTTGTTATTTTATTTGTTTTCTTATATAGAACGCGAAAGAATGCAAGAAATTATAAATGTAAGAAATTGAAATTTCCGATAGGAATAGCAACTTCAGATAAAATCAGAGTATTTCAATGAAATTTGTATATATTTCTGTCAATCTTTATCAAATTGTTTAAGCAGGGTAACGCTTTGAGAATGCTCGCATTAACGACATTATGCATCACAGAGCACCATGCACGAGCAAGATGTGATGAGGAACGTTGAGACGTACGCCAATGAGGTGAAATTGATACAAAGACTGGAGGAACATAACGGGGCGGTTAACAGCGTTGCCTTCTACGGGAATAATCTTTTAGCCTCAGCTTCAGGGTTAGCCTCCGGAAATGCAATTACAAAACCAACGAGGCGATCGAATAAACGTCCTTTTGTTATTTTCAGGGATAAATTAGTGCGTATGTGGGATGTAGAGACGGAAGAAGAGGACGGAGAGGAGTTGATCAAGATACAGGAAAAACCTTTCAGTCCTCTCGATGGTCATACCTACAGTATCAACTACGTAGAATTCAGTCCGTGCGGTACGATGCTCGCCTCCTGCTCGCTCGATGGAACGACTCTGGTTTGGAACACACAGGTAAATGTCACACATCTATGATAGCGCGATCTATTTTTAACACGTCCTTCGTGGCAATTCTTGTCGACAGGTTGGCGGTCAAGCGAAGTCTTCATTCGTCAATTCTGGGACAGGCATTCGAGTGTGCCGTTGGTCACCGGATGGCGTGAAGATTGCCACCGCGGGTGACGATGAGAAGACGACGTTATGGGATGTGAAGACCATGGATGAGTTGCAGTACGTACACTGCAGATTCAAATGTGTTATTTCGGCTGAATTTCTTTCAGCACGTTTCAGCACTTTAAGTCACCTTATTTAACACTCTCCTACATAGTACGAAATATTTTGTGACGTCTTAATGATATTTCTGTACAACGTCTTAATGATGTATTATTGACGTTTAAAGACGTCATTAAAACGTCATTAAATCGTCTTAAAATGTCATCAGTCTGATATTAGGCCGTCATTTTGACGACATTTTCACGACATTTTTGGTCATTCCTTGATCATTTTTTACCATGAACTGACCAGATTTGGACGTCATTTTGACATGAATCTGCTACCTGGGACGTGACTTAAAACGATAAGAAAAAAGCCAAATTACACGCTTATGCGTTTAAAAATAACACACTTGGATTTGCAGTCAAACAATGAAAAATAGAATAGATCGATATTATGACACATCTCATAAATATGAGATGAGCCTTTTTGTATAATATCGATCTGGAAAATACCTTATAATCGCAGCATGAATCATATGTCAAATTCGAATATGAATTGTTACTGTCTAAGTAACGAGCTGCTAAGTCTCACGATTAACCAACACAATAATCGCCAGACAATGTTACAGTGTCTTCGAGGGACATGCTGACGCGATATCGGCCATCGCGTTTACGCACGATTCTCGATACTTGGTAACCGCGTGTAACGAGGGCGCTTGGCGGCTCTTCGACACTCTAGATGAAAAAAATGCTAGCGAGGCATTGATAGTTTGCGACGCTAGTCACGATCTGGGTGTCCAAGGATGCGACTTCAGCCCTAATTCAAGCTCCACGATGTGCAGTACGTGAAGAAAAAATCTTTCATTGTCTCATAACAACGCGTTTCGATCGCGGGAAAATCGTACCATGTCGAGCAAGAAAAATTAATCTATATTTCTCGTATTCTCTGCTCATATAAAAAGTTTAATAGAATCACATAAGAAAAATTTATATAACTAAGTCGTCTCTACTGAAAAATTTCTATCGAGATCTAAAATGAGATTTCTGAAAAATTCCTTATATGAAATCTCAATTATTTCACACACCCACACATATAATATCTATTGAGATAATTATATGAAATAAGATAATCAATAAGATATCATTAAGATATCATATGAAATAATTGAGATCTTATATAGAAATATAAAGCAATAGGAAAGTTTACTTTTTTTTTAATTTTTGGATTATATTATAAATATATCAAGTTTCTGTGCGTATAATATTTATAATATAATCTAAACATTTTTTCTATTTTTCATATAATATTTTAATTGAGATAATATTATTCTTTAATTTCTCATGTGATATCTCAATTAAAATATGATATGAAATAATTGAGATCTCATGTAGGAAATTTTTCGGAAATCTCATTTAAAATCTCAATAAAAATTTTTCAATAGAAGTATTTTTGATAACAAAAATAGTAAAATTACATAGAAAGGCGTGTATATTCAGATAAATATTTAATTGTTTAAAGTTTTTTTACAATATATAACAAAATAAATTGATAACTTTCTTATATGAACTGAAATGTAAGAAATTTAAAAAATGCGAGAAAGGTTTTGCCTTTTTTTCATTGTGTAAAATTTTGAATATTTCAATAAATAATATATTGATTTAAAGCTTAGGAGGAGTAGATATATTAAAAATATAAAATACAAATATTATTCTAGTAAAGAATTGTTTGGGAGATAAACTAGCTACTGGGAAATAAACTAGCTATGGTTATTTGTTGAGATTGTAACATTTTGGACCGTTTATCTCCGAAAAGACTACGAGAATAATATTCTTGATCTATTATCTTATATTCTTAATCTATTCGACATAAATTTCAAATAGGTATACTATTAGAATATTTAAAGTTTTTGAAAAAGATGCGAAATGTGTCCATGGGTACTTGACCATACTTTTTTCAACGAAAATCGTAAATTGAAATAAAATCATATAGAATTTAAGTGAAATTTCTACATATTTCTATCAATTCTTACTTTTAAGAAGAGTTGTTAGCCATAACAAAATTGATTGTCATAAAATAATGGCGCTATATGATCCGTGAATTGATTCTTATTCTCTATTCGTTTTGATCTTATATCAGAAGAGCCTTTAACTTATTATATATTTAACTATTATTTTATTTAGTTTAAGAATGCTAGAGCAAAAGAATGAAAAAGAATTATTCTTTTTGTGGAAACGCCTACGACAATTGGCAATAAATATCAATTGTTTGCAGCCAGAGACTCGGATATGAACGTCGACCAGCAGATATATCTCTTGGCGACGTGTGGCAACGATTCGTTGGTCAAACTGTGGCACGTGATTATTTCGAACGAACCACCACCCGACCCGGACAGCATCGGAACGAGCGACAGCGGAACGCGTTACAAGGAGAAGAAATCCTTGGCCGGGCACGGCGGAAATGTGATGTGCGTCCGTTTCTCACCTGTCCATGGGGAAGTTTTAGGCAGCGTCGCGACCGACAGGACAGCTCGTATATGGAGCGTGGTGAGCGACAAGGACGATAGACTGACTTTTAATGACAACTATGAGGATGCAATGTATTATATACTGAGAGAAAACACTTGAAAATTTATTTGTGTGGGATAAAAGTTTATGTCACAGAAAGATGAGTCTTATTTTGCAGAGAAGTGAACTTTATCTCGCGGAAATAAACTTTATATCCTGCAAATAAATGTTCAAGCTTTTTCTCAGTGTACGAGAATTGATGAGTTTTCAGTTTTCCGGAAGCTGCCTGTACGTCTTGGAGGATCATGACAGTTTAGTCACGTCGTGCGCATTTTCCGAAGATACATCTCTCTTTGCCACAGGTTTCGAAACTTTTTATTATGTATAATTTTTTATACACTATTTTAAAAGTTATTAATCACTTATTTACATTTTTATTATTTTTTAGCAAAAAACCACATATACATATACAACTACCGCAAGAAGCTACTGATACAAAATTACAACATAGACTCATACAGCACAGAAGTCCAAAATACATATCAGAAACATCTCAGAGACGACGTGATATCTCAGGGACGTCTCTGGGATGTATTTCGGACTTTTGTGCTGTATGGAGATTTGCAAAATTATATCACATTCCGTTTTTTTGCTTGTCCTATTATTTTTGTAAATTTTTTATTTTAAACAAACACACTTGCATTTTTTAAAACTATATATTTCATATAGAGAATTTTTGTAATAAAAATCGAATAAAAACATTGCATCATTTAATTATTTAACGATAATATTTCTAGGTGCGTTGGATAAGACTGTTCTGGTTTGGAAAGTGCCGCAACAATTAGTATCACAAAGTAATCTAATAGACAGTTTGAGAAACAAGAAAAAGAGGGTCGGTATTCTTACGCACAAATAAGCGAAATATGTATAGCAAATAATACTTAATGACCACGCTTTGTTATTCAGGTGACAGATTGGAATATACACGACACTTTGAAATGGCTGAATGACATCGAGCTATCCAGACTGTCCAGGAAAGTACTTCGTCTGGGATTGACTGGACGACACTTGCTGTCCATATCGGCAAACGAGCTGATATCTCGATTAGATATCGAGGATGACGAGGTAAAATATACATAATATTGTAATTATTTTATTATTCTATTTTTATCTCTTTTTTAGCTCTTTTTGCGATACATTAATGATCTTTGCAGGCGGTGGAAACATTGCAAAAACAATTATATTGGCTGAAACGTGAAGATCTCAATGTTACAGAGAATATAGACGAGTCTGAGATTCCCCATGAATTCTTGTGTCCCATAACGCATGAGATAATGAAGGAACCCGTGCAATGCTCAGGTAAAATATATACAGTAAAAAAACTTCTCCCTCGTAAATAATTTCTTATAAAAGAAAAATATTGTAAAGTCCTTCTCCAGAACATCTATCTCGATCGAGAGAAAATTTGTTTGACTTTCGTTTCACTATTGGTTATAGCCAATAGCAGTTCCCTGTTTAAAACAATGGATAAAAAATTACAGAATATATTAATTTTCCTTTTCAATGGCGATTTTGTATTCCCGATTTTTAGAGAAAATTATTTAAGAAATTTCATAAATAATTTGTAGAATTTTTATATATTATATCACATATATTCTTTATAATTTATAAAAATTTACGAAAAATTACAAAGGATATAATAATCTGTAACACAATTTATTTATAAAATTATTTAAATGCTTTCTGAAAGAAAGAATGTAAAATCACTATTGGAAAGAAAAACCAGCATATCTTGTATAATTTTTTATACATTATTTTATTAATCACTTATTTATATTTTTATTATTTTTTAGCAAAATGACATGAAACAAAGATATATCTGTAATTTGATCGATTGATTATTTCTAGATGGATTTACTTACGAAAGGGCGGCTATAAATGAGTGGTTCCTATGTGGTAAATACACTAGTCCGATGACGAATGAGCCACTGCACGACACTTCCTTTAGTTCGAACATCTGTCTCAGAAACGCTATACTCACCCTACTTCACGGAGAAGGGCCACAATAATGATCGAAACTTACGCATCGCATTGCAATACGAGAAGAGAAAACAAGAGAATATTACACGCACGTGTCGGTAACTCGTGATAATCGATAAACAATTTTATTCCACAATTCCAAAGGTAGGCCCTTATTTCTCTTTTACTGATAAAAGTGTTTCTAAACATGAAAGCCAAGTAGAAAATTTAAAAAATCACTTAGAAACACTTTTATCCGAAGAGACTTCAGAATACGTATGCCTAGTTAGCCCCTCCTTCCTCCCCCTAATCTGAAATAAATAGCAGAATTATATAATCGTGCGCTATTTATGCGCTTTCCGAAAATAACATGGAGAAATTTTTCCATCTATTACATTACCAATTTTTTTTACAGCAAGTCTTCCCAACAAATAACAAATTATTTAACAAAACAAATATGTAAGAATTATGCGCTAATTATACGTTTTTATATTTAGGTAATTTCGATTTTTGCGTTGCGACTCTTAAAGAACTTCTCTCTTGACGTAAAAAATAGAATTGTCATAGAATTTCTTTAAAATGAAAAATATCATCAATTTAATTATATATGAAGAATTTACGACTTATACACTTTTAAATTTAGGTTATATTGATTTTTGCGCTGCAATCTTTAAGAGACTTCTTTCTTGACGCAGAAAACAAAATTTTTATAGAATTAAAAAAAAATTGTTTTAAATATCGTAAATTCAATTATGTACAATAAATCTACGATTTATGCACTCTATCAAGATCATTTCCGCGCTGCAATCCTTAAAGGACTTCTCTCTTGATGTAAAAAATAGGATTGTCATAGAATTTCTTTAAGATAAAAAATATCGTCAATTCAATTATGTACAATGAATCTACATTTGATGTGCTCTTGTATTTAGGTTATTTGATTTTTATGCTGCAACCTTTAAAGGACTTTTCTCTTGAGGTAAAAAATGTAATTGGTATAGAATTTCTTTAAAATAAATAATATCGTCAATTCAATTATACACGATAAATCTACAATTTATGCGCTCTTAGATCTAGGTTATTTTGAAAAAAAATCTATGACAATTATATTTTTTGTCTCAAAAGAGAAGTCTTTTAAATATTGTAGCGCAAGAATCAAAATGACCTAGATCTAAAGGCGCATAAATTATAGATAGTATAGATTCATAGAATGCATAGATTCATCGTACGTAATTGAATTGACGATATTTTCCATTTTTCCCAAAAGGAATTTTATAACAATTCTATTTTTGTGTCAAGAGAGAAGTTCCTTAAGAGTTGCAGTGCAAAAATCGAAATTATCTGAATATAAGAACTCATAAATAGAGCATAATTTCTACATATTTGTTTTTTTTTAAATAACTTGTTATTTGTTGGTGGAGAGAGGCTAACTTGCCGTTCGCTTGACCACAAAAATTTTTTTATGGTGTAATGAGTAGAGCGCAAAATTTTTGCGTATTATTTTTGGACAACGCATAAATAGCACATAGTTATATAATTTTACTGTTTCAGATTAAGTAGGGGGGAGGGACTAGCTAGACAGACGTTTTCAGAATAAGGATCTTAAAGTTCTGCGGTTGTGATGTAATGATATTCGCTTGCTCGCAAGAATCAAAAGGTATTCAAATGTCAAACGTAAATGTAATCAATTAAGACCAGTCAGACATTTGCAATAATATGAGCAATGTCGCTGTGATTTTATAATTAATCTGGTAAAAGATGCAGCTTATGAGGAAATGTTGCTATCCCTTTTTATGCAATTCGCAAAAATTCTGGAATTAGAATTATTGCCATGTACATATCTTTATTCAGGGATAGTGCATATCAGATTAACGCTGTTGCGTGGCTCTGATTTTATCGTCAATATGAGAAAGAGAGAAAGAAAGAAAAAACTACCCAGATAGACATACTTCAGCATATTATCTGCTTGATGATTAGCAAAGATGCGTCTTCATACAATAAGAGTATTTTCAATACATAAAAGAAGTCATCTGATGCCATGAAAATTGCGGCAATATTGTAGAGATATTGTAATAGAAACTGCTGCTTGCTTTGCTGGAAAAGGAGTGCAATTAATTCGAAATTATTGTGCTAATAAAAAGTAAATGTTTTGATAAAAATTATGGCGTAGCAGATGAATATTTCTTAAAATAAACATATTTCAAGCATATAATGTTATTACAATAGCATCGCATAGTATACATTAAACGTTTGCACGCTATATTCGACATCTCTGTCTATCTGGTTAGAGTCTAGAAGCGAATATTATCGAAATAATTTCGAACATATTCAACGGCACGGCGCGTGTACTATACTCTAATAACCCAGATACCTGATGCAAAGCAACAGTACAAGTTTACGAAAATTTGTTGACAATCTTCGAGATTACGGATAGTGAAAATGCTGGTTTAAATAAATCGAATTACGGAATATATATAGTTGAACGTATATACAGAGTGATTCTAAATAAGTGCAACAATTTTCAGGAGATGATTTTTTGTGTAAAAAATTATAAAAGGAATTTTTCATATAAATATATATTGTCCCCTACCACTCCTTGAGGAATTATAAAGGGAGAAGTGAAAATTAGAAGTAAAAACATAAATTTAATTTTTTTCCAAATTTTGGAAAAGTTAAAAATATTAAATATAGGAAGTGTTTTCCTCTAATATAAAATAGATATTAATATTTTTTTAATCTACCCGTGTGTGTATTGTGAGGGGATAAAACTAGCAACACCTAATTTAATTTTTTATTAAAACTTTTTAACGGACCGGAATATGATCATTTAAAAATATGCGTATAAAAACCTTTATTCCTTTAGAATCTCTTATATTTCTTTTATTTTTTTAAATCAATAATTTTCAAATAAAAAAATACATTATCATGCATGACATTAACATGATGATTTATGAAAAATTGCATTTTTAATAAATTTAAAAATGTCTATTAGGCGGTTATCAGATTGATAACTTGTTTGCATTAAAATTTAATTTTTTTAAGTTTTCCAATATATGAAAGAAAAATAAAAACCTAATTTTTATCTTCTCCTTTGGAAGAGTGAAACTCCTCAAAGAGATATAGGAATATATGTTTACATAAAAGACACCCTTTTATTTTCGATAAAGAATTATCTCTTACAGTTTTTCACGCTTATTTAGAATTACCTTGCATGTATACATATATGTATATAATATACATATATATATATATATATATATATATATATATATATATATATATATATATACATATACAAGATATTCCAGACTTTCCCCCGTAACTTTTGTGGGAATATAGAACAAAAGATATAGATTGAAGTGCACATAAAAGTTCCATACCGTTTTGCGATATTCGCAATAAATCTTGAAATATTATTTAATGAAGATTGAATAATCATGCGCGATATGGTAGATGGACTGTAATGGCGCCGTCTGCTGTTGTATAATTATACATCAAACTGAGCAAAAAAATCCTCTAACATTTTGCAAATAGGTTTTTACATATTAATTAAAGAAGATTTTTGCATTATCGCACATAATCATGTAACAATTTTCTTTCATTAATATCTAAAAATCTATGTGATTATTTGCAAAATGATAAAGCTTTTTAGTTCAATTGGAACCTAATGTACCTAATGTACAAGCACATTACCACTATAGCTCATCTACCATATTACGCATGGTTATTCACCAAACTTTTTAAATTAATATCTCGACTATTATTGCGAATATCGCAAAACGGTATATAGGACTTTTATGTTCACCTCAATCCATTCTATATTCCCACAAAAATTGCAAAAGAGAATTTGAGACATCCTGTATATGTGTTTATATATATATATATATATATATATATATGTTATGTATATGTATGTACATGTATATATACATACATGTAGATAGACGTGTCGAAGATACACGGATTTTATATTGGTTCTACACGTAAGTGGGATTTATCGAATCGACGCAAACACGGTGTGCGTCTTGGCTACTCTAGTATCTCGCATTTCAAATCTTTTATATAATTCAAATAACTCATTTTCCCGTTAGATACTCGGCAGGTCCATCGTAGGGGTCCACCGGCGATTTTATAAAACGTTCTTCTCGGAGTACCAATATATCAAATAGAACTAATTGCGGATCTTTAAGATTATATCGACAGGGTTAACTTTGCATGGCAAGGAGAATTTAGGACTGTTTAGTATCGTAATTCCCGAAGGTTGTTGTGAGTATTAGATGCTAAACGAGCCTCGAGACCATTTTTACGATGGCGCACAGGTGCAAAGTTTTTATCCCATTTCGCGGTACTGAAACTTTTAAATTAAAAAGCGGCTGAAAACCAAGTTTTCAGTTTAGTAATTAATGAATGATAAATAATTGAAATAAACTAATGAGAAATATTTGCGCGTTATAAACACGTTTTAGAATGAATATGCTACTTAGTAGTATAGAGAAATATTTGTGCCTAATGTAAGACTAACGGCGAGAAATCCTCGCGTTTATCGGAATATTGCAGGTATAACTCGATTTTTTAATCTATAACATCATCGCGTTTTAATGAGCAGAAGCAGCAGGATGGCATCAAGTGACACATTGATGACGTATTATTGATATTAATGCGTCATTAAAACATCATTTGACGTCATCATGTTTACTAAAGAGTATTCATTTGTTTGACTGCACTGAGAGGAAAAAAATGATAAATCTAACTAATATTATAGTTATTTTTTTGCTCCAGCCATATTCATTGATTGTTCTAATACGAAAATTATAGAGTAGTAACATGCATATAAGATTATCGTCATTAACATTACAGAATTTAATAAAAGAAACGAGAGTTTTTTTGATTATAGTAATTATTTCTCTATGTGATTATATAGTTATATACAAATACCAAATATTCTTTTCTCAGTGTATGTATTTTGAAATCCGTAGAAATTGATTGACATATGTGATTCGCGTGTAATACCCAATAAAAAATTTTTCATACATAATTATGTAGAATCATATAAAATTATATGTAATTTTACATCATTATATATAAATATGTATGAAATTTGTCCATACATATTAATACATATTACTTATATATATATATATATATATATATATATATA